GATGTACTGATAATATGAATACATAATGATTAAAAATACGTTTTCACAGCCTTAGAGTAAAATATTAAATCACGCCAAAATCGAAAAGAAAATTCAAACAATAAACCGTCCTTGTTAAGATACAGCAAATAAATAGACTAGATTTTCATCGATTGCACCAATAATCAAGAAGGTAAATGAAAATTCCGATTTTCAATTGTCATTCACAAAGCCAAAACAAGTTTAGTGAAAATCGAAAAGCATTGGCGCTTTAGAAACGCTCCCTCAATTTTCATATAATATTCAAAAGGAACACACACAAAATGAAAATGCAATCAGAAAAGAGTAGTTGAAAGCCTTATAAAACATAGCTGTGAAAGTCGCTCCCCCAGAATAATACTAATAGCGAATCGACTCCCATAACAAACCGGCAGATGAAAATCCAGGAATAAAAAGCCATGCAGTCAGACATATTTGTCCACATGTGTATACACAAAAAATTACGGAACGTGAGCGAAAAGGGACTTGTGAAGCATCTAAGTGATAAGAATAGTGTACCGACTCTTGACATTAACCAGCAGAGGAAAATCAAGGCGTAGAGCAATATAGTTAGATATGTGTATACATGCGCATCCACAAATATTTGTAGGATGCGGACGAAAATGGGCTTTTGAATCACCTACTCGAGAGGAATTCGCGGCAGTAGTGTCCACAGAGGCATCAGAATTGGTAGATCCCAAATGCTCTGGGACTTCAACAGTGAAACTTAGCTGCTTCGAGCGACTATTTTTCACTCTAGCCAGCTCCAGCTCAGCTGCATGCTTCGCTTCATATGCGGCAAGCAAGAGGCTGCGAAGATCGGATAGTTGCGATTTGAGTTGGCAGTCATCAGTCGGCCGAGGGACCTCGCTGGAGAGCTCAACCGAGTCTAATTGACTGACCCGTACAAAGTGACTAGTCTGACTACTAGAACTTTTGACCAGAGAAGGCTGGGCTCGCACAGGAAGAGACAAGTCGAGTAGCGGCTTGTTAAAGGGGCGCGAGTTTGGACGAATTAATGTGGGCGGAGTGGCAGACGCGAGGGCGGCCCGATGAGCCTATTTTTATTTACATGTGCAAAAGACAAAGGCAAAGATACAAAGCCATGGACCCTAAATACGAAGATACTAAAGGACTTATCATGGGCGTTTTTCAACAATGGGTTTGTAAACAAATATAATCGCCATTTAGGAAATACCGGCGGCTCAAAAGCTATCGCAATTTGACAGATATATACAATTCAGAACAAATAAACTGTTCTAGTAAAAAGTTATTCTCCAACGGTAATAGCTGAATTTAATTTTTCTGTTAAGTAAGATGCAAACACGTGTAGGAATTAACTCTGTGGCATAAAAATTGTATTGTGAACTACCAATAATTCATGCCCATATTGACTAAGAATAGACTTGCCTCATTACCGATTTAGCTTTCACCATCTTCGGGATTAATTTCATGGAAGGTCAACAAGGGCTAACGTAGCATTAAACTGATTAATCATGCAAACTGGCCCCCGTGAGCCTCCCAAGCCAAGAACTCTGGACAGCCAACTATGTGGGATTGAACAGTTCAATAGGTTATAGTCCTTTGTTGAGTGTGCAACCCATCGAGGCTCAGCGACATAAAACTATCTCAAGATGACTGTTCGCTAAGTAGTTAGCAAACACAACAAACGACTCGATATCGGTCTTGTTTGCCTCCCAAAACATGCATGGACGGCTAAATTTCAGTTGGACCCAGAAAGAAAGGATATCAGAGGACAGATGGAGGATTTAGGTCTAGACAATTATGACGCCAATGCTTATCACCATCTTCACAGTTACAATGAACAAAAAGCCATAGCGGAGAATCAAAAAATCAAGCAGTCAAAAGTTTGCTCGAAAATGGCAAGAAATAAATACGGCAGATGGATATCGTAAACGGATTGAAGATTTGGTACAACGTATCTATATACAAACATCGAACTCAAGTACCACATTCCATACGGAAGATGGTGGTTCAAGCCAATTATATGGGCTAATAGCGGATCGTTCTGCGTGACCTAGGATGCAAGCGGATGCATGGTATGTCAAAAGAGCAAAGTTAACAGAAAGAAGATTTCGATTGGCATTTTTCAACCTATCATAGGAGGCTTTAATGTCCTTTACATGGACATGGTAAATTCAATATCGTTTTCCATTCTATTTCAGGCCAGGCATGCAGATGCTGTTGCTAAAACTTTAATGGGACATTGGGTTTATAAGTCCCGCACGTTGATAACTACCCGAACCGAGAAGTATAAAGCTAGGGACTGACTTTTTCACCCAACTATTTAAATTATTAGGAGTAGGGAGGGTTCACATCTGTGCGTAGTATCTGCGGGCTAACGGTTTGGTAGAGCGCTTCCATCGTCAGCTAAAGACCTGGTTACGGTTTCAAAGGAATCTTGACACGAGCAGACAATTTGTCTTTGATCCTGCTGAGTCTGCGAGCAACAAGCAAGACAGACACAAACTGCAGTCTATCAAAAATGGTCTACGGATGCCAACTCTCCTTACCTAGCGATTTTATCCACTTTAACACCAATAACATTTCA